TCCCAAATATTTGATTTTTTTTGTTTCAATAATAAAAGGGATGGTTTTTTTGATTTCTTCTTCTTCAGATTTATTGTTTGTGTATAGGAAGGCTACTGACTTTTGTGTGTTGATTTTGTATCCTGCTACTTTACTGAACTGATTGATGAGTTGAATTAGTTTTTCTGTGGAGGTTTTGGGGTTCTCTATGTATATTATCATACCATCTACAAATAGTGATAGTTTGACTTCTTCTTTTCCTATTTGGATTCCTTGGATATCTTTCTCTTGTCTTATTGCTCTGGCTAGGACTTCCAGTATTATATTGAAGAGCAGTGGTGAGAGTGGACATCTTTGTCTTGTTCCAGATCTCAATGGAAATGCTTTCAGCTTTTCACCATTGAGAATGATACTGGCTGTTGGCTTGTCATATATGGCCTTTATGATGTTGAGGTATGTTCCTTGTATCCCAAGAATATCAAGGGCTTTTATCATGAATGGGTGTTGCACTTTGTCGAAAGCTTTCTCAGCATCTATTAATATTATCATATGGTTTTTATATTTCTTTTTGTTGATGTGTTGGATAACGTTGATTGATTTTTGGATGTTGAACCATCCTTGTGTCCCTGAATGAATCCTACTTGGTCGTGGTGAATTATCTTATGAATACATGTTGGATTCTCATAGCTAAATTTTTTTTTTTTTTTTTTAATTTTCTAGAGGCATGTCTTATTTATTTTATTTATTATTTGTTTTTTGTTTGGTTTATACATGCACTGGGTACAGTCAGAAGCACAGGAGGGTGAGAGAATTCACCAGAGCCAGAGCGGGGAGCAGAGCAGGCAGAAGGACCGAAGTACACTGCTGAGGGGAGCAGCGGGCGGCAGGAGAGGTCTGCGCGCCATGTGGACCCTCCTCCGGTTCGAACCGGCTGCAGAGGCTGCAGGCAGCTTCGCAACCCAGCGCTCAACCGCTGCGCCACCGGGAGGCCCACTCATAGCTAAAATTTTATTGAGGATTTTTTTGCATCAGTGTTCATTAGGGAGATTGGCCTTAGTTTTCTTTTTTTTGTGTTGCCCTTGTTCGGTTTTGGTATAAGTGTAATGTTGGCTTCATAGAACGTGTTTGGTATTATCCCTTCCTTCTCAATTTTTTGTAAGAGTTTGTGAAGGATAGGCACTAATTCCTCTCTGAATGTTTGGTAGAATTCATTTGTAAATCCATCAGGTCCTGGGCTTTTGTTTTTGGGGAGGTTTTTGATTACCATTTCAATTTTGCTGCTTGTAATTGGTCTGTTTAGGTGTTTATTTCTTCTTTATCTAGCTTTGTGTGATTGTAGAGTTGTAGGAATTTGTCCATCTCCTCCAGATTGTTGAACTTGTTTCCATATAACTGTTCATAGTAGTTACTGATTATTCTTTTGATTTCTGCTGTGTCCATTGTGATTTCTCCTCTTTCATTTATGATCCTGTTTATTTGTGCTTTCTCCCTTTTTTCCTTTGTGAGCCTGGCTAGGGGTTTGTCTATTTTATTTATTTTTTCGAAGAACCAGTTCTTGGTTTCATTGATCTTTTGGACTGTATTTTTAGTTTCAATTTCATTTATTTCTGCTTTGATTTTTATTATTTCTTTTCTTCTACTGGTTTTGGGGGTTTTTTTGTTGTTCTTTTTCTAGATCTTTGAGCTTCGAGATTAGGTTGTTTCTTTGAGTTCTTTCTTGTTTCTTGATGTGAGCCTCTATTGCTATATACTTTCCTCTTATTACTGCTTTTGCTGCATCCCATATTTAGGAAATTGGTGTCCTCCTTGTCATTCAATTCAAAGAATTTTTTAATTTCTTCTTTGATCTCCTCGTTAGTCCAGTGGTCTTCCAGAAGTGTGGTTTTTAATCTCCATGAGGTAGGAGAGTTCCTTGCCTTCTTTTTATGGTTTATTTCTAGTTTGATGCCTTCATGGTCAGAAAAGATGGTTGGTATGATTTCAATCTTGGTGTATCTGTTGATGTTTGTCTTGTGTCCCAGTATGTGGTCGATCCTGGAGAATGATCTGTGTGCGCTTGAGAAAAATGTGTACTCAGATTTTTTTGGGTTTAGTGTTCTATAGATGTCTGTTAATGCCATGAGCTCTAGATCCTTATTTAGAGCTTTAGTGTCCTTACTTATTTTTTGTCTCATTGATCTATCCATTTTTGATAGTGGTGTGTTGAAGTCTCCCACTACGTATGTGTTTTCTCTGATGTCTGTTTTCAGAGATGACAATAGTTGTCTGATATATTTTGGTGCTCCTTCATTAGGTGAATATATGTTAATGAGTGTTATTTCTTCTTGAAGTATTGTCCCCTTGATCATAATGTAGTGACCCTTGGGGTCTCTTTTTATCTTTTCGAATTTGAAATCTATTTTATCTGATATAAGTATAGCTGTTCCTGCTTTCTTTTTGGTCCATTTGCTTGTAGAATTGTTTTCCATCCTTTAACTTTGAGTCTATTTTTATCTTTTGTAGCTAAATGCATTTCCTGGAGACAGCAAAAGGTTGGATTTTGTTTCTTAATCCAGCCTGGGACTCTGTGTCTTTTTATTGAAGAGTTTAGTCCATTTACATTTAGAGTTAATATTGATATGTTAACATCTGTATTTGCCATTGTGTTTGTCTTTATTTTATTTATTTATTCTTTTAATAACTTTTTTTTTTTGGCCTTCTTTCATTGTTATTCGTACCTCTGAGGTTACGGCTTTAGGAGTCCTTGTAGTATTTTTTGGAGTGGGGGTTTAGTTGTAATGAAATTCCAGAGTTTCTGTTTGTCTGGGAAGGTCCTTATTCTTTCTTCATAGAGGAAGGAGAGCTTTGCGGGATAGAGTATTCTTGGTTGGCATCTGTTTTCTTGGAGTCTGTTGACTGTGTCCCTCCACTCTCTCCTTGCCCGTAGTGTTTCTTCGGAGACATCTGATGTCAGTCTGATTGGCTTTCCTTTGAATGTTATCTGTTTCTTCCCTCTTGTCAGCTTCATTATTTTTTCCTTGTCCTGGATTCTTGGGAGCTTTACTATTATGTGTCTTGCTGTATTTTTCCTTTCGTCGTGGAAGTTTGGTGTTCTTCTTGCTTCTTGTATATCTATTTTCAGCTCCTTCTTCACGTTTGGGAAGTTCTCTTCAATTATCTCCTTGAATATTTTCTCTGTTCCTACATCTCGCTACTCTCCTTCTGGGATTCCTGTAACTCTTTCCTCATGGAGTCAGATAGTTCCCGAAGTCTTTCTTCATTCTTTTTCATTCACACTTCTCTTTCCGTTTCTGTTTTGTTTTTTTTTATTTCTGTGTCTTCAAGAGTACTTACTCGTTCTTCCTTTTCATCTATTCTGCTTTCACTGCTTTTCCCAGAGTTCTTTAGCACCTCCATTAATTCTTTGATATCCTGCATTTCTTTTACTTTCCTCTTTAGGGACTCAACTTCATTCTTCTGATCGTTGATTATTTTTCCCTTATCATTGTTTTCCTTTATGGCTTCTGTCAGTTTTTTAATCACGGCAATTTTAAATTCTCTTCCTGGAAGACTCAGAAGTTCTTCCAAGTTACGGTCATTGCAATCTGGGGGGTGGTTTTCTTTTTGTGGTGTGCTTTTTTCCTGAGGACTTGCTGGGTTGTGTGTGGTTTTTCTACTCCCTACTGTCTGTTTTCTAATTTGCCATATGCATTGGGACACTGTGTTGCTGGTACTGGCCGGCATCTTGGGCGAACTTCCCAGCTCACCTCTGGCTCTTCCAGGAGCCATCTGCAGGTTTCAAGCAGTCTTTATTGAAGAAATGTCCCTGTTCTAAAATGGTGATGCAGTAAGCACTCCCTGCGCTCCCAGTCTGCCCCAGTGGTGGGTTCCCGCTCCCCCTCTGGGCTCTGACTGCAGGCCAGAAGGGGCCTGGCGTGGGCAAACTTCCCAGCTCACCTCTGGCTCCTCCAGGAGCCTTCTCGAGTGTCTGTTATTGATACAGGGATACAGAAATAGAAGACACAATCACAAAAAGGAGTAGGCCAGTACCTATTGACCTAAACATTTTATGAAGGGATGGTCTGATAAAAGGAATGCTTCCTCAACTGTGTTAAACCATTTGAAACTGGCGATAGTCAGCCATTTTGACCCCAAAATGTAATAAACAATTTCATATGTTTAAACCTGGGTAGTCGAAGGGAAGGAGAGAAAGCAGCTACCAATGCAGACAGATTACATATTTAATTTACAAATTTAGTGGTGGAAATTACAAAAAAGCAATTTTAACCTGTCTTATTTGTATGTAAAATGCCAAGAATAACAGATAATAGTTCATTTTTAGGTATAAGTTACTCTCTGCAGAACCTTGAACTGTCAAAATACTGGGTTTACTTTTTACTCTAAAAAATAAAGGACTAAGTTAGCCTATATAGAATCAGGGTTTAAAAAAGGAAATTATGATCAATTTTTAAAATAAAAAAATGTAAATCAAAGAAATTATAATCTCCATTAAATAATAAGACTAATAGCATAGGCAAAGCAAAAATACAGCTTTTAAAATGCTACTGGTTTTAATTTAAATTATCATTTCAATACTGCATCATTGCTTAATTTATAAAGATCTAGTGTGGACTATTGTCAGATTTAACAACCAATTCTACAATATTATGATGAATAGTGTTCTACCAGCTTTTCCAGTGGTCTGCCCAATAAGCTTGTGCTGCTGTGTACTTTGCACTGCTGACAATGCTAACAAATGACACTACACATGGTCAGCACAACTCCAAGCCTGGATAGGTGTATCTAGAAGGCAGGACCTAAGTTACAAGAGAGGCTGACAAAATAAGTCCCTGGCATTTTCAGCTTCTGAAGAGAAAGGAGTCTTTGCCTCAAAACCGAAACTGAAAGATGAGAAATTTACCAAACATAGGAAGAGGGTTCAGGTTCTTCCTGTTCAAAAAGATAGGTTTTCACTACAATACTTAATACATTTCAATGATAAAAATTATACATAGGGTGCTTTCCAAAGGTTATAACCATACCTTGTAATAACGGAAATAGTCTCGCTCTTGCAATTTTTTCATTTTGGGGAAGATTTTGAAGGTGTTGAAGTTATCAATGCTATCAACATCACACAAGCAATCATCCAGAACTCCGGTGACCTAAAAAAATATAGATAGATACAATTTAAAATATATGTTACTCAATTATTGATGAAATTCATATGGAATCACCAAAAACCCCGAATAGCCAAAGCTCTACTGAAAAAAAAAAGAAGGAAATGGAGGCATCACACTCCCAGACTTCAAACTATACTACAAAGCCATAATCATCAAAACTGCATGGTATTGGAACAAGAACAGACATACAGACCAATGGAATCGAATAGAAAATCCAGAAATAAACCCACAGATTTATGGTCAACTAATCTTTGACAAAGGAGCAAAGACTATGCATTGGAGCAAAGAAAGTTTGTTCAATAAATGGTGCTGGGAAAACTGGGTCGCTACATGCAAAAGAATGAAGCTTGACCACTACCTCACACCATACACAAAAATCAACTCAAAATGGATTAAAGAACTAGACATAAGACCTGAAACCATAAAATACATAGAAGGAAATATAGGCGAAACACTACATGATTTGCACATCAAAGACATCTTTACAGACACATCACCCAAAGCAGTGATAGTGAAGGCAAAGATAAACAGCTGGGACTACATCAAATTAAAGAGCTTCTGCACAGCAAAAGAGACAATAACAAAAACAAAGAGAAACCCCACCAACTGGGAGAACATTTTTGCACCCAACACTAATGATAAAGGACTGATCACAAAAATCTGCAAAGAGCTGATGAGACTCAACAACAACAAAGAAAATAATCCAGTCAAAAAATGGGCAGAAGAACTAAAAAGAAACTTCTCTGAAGAGGAAATGCAAATGGCCAACAGGCATATGAAAAAATGTTCAACATCACTTGTCATCAGGGAAATGCAAATCAAAACTACCATGAGATACCATCTTACACCAGTGAGAATGGCACATATTAAAAAAACTAGCAACAACAAATGTTGGCGAGGGTGTGGAGAAAAAGGAACTCTCCTGCACTGTTGGTGGGAGTGCAAACTGGTCCAACCACTATGGAGAGCTGTGTGGAGATTTCTGGACTTACTAAACATAGAGCTTCTATATGATCCAGCAATTCCACTCCTAGGTATTTACCCAAAGGACACAGAAACATCAATTCCAAAGAGCACCTGCACCCCTATGTTTATAGCAGCACTGTTTACAATAGCTAAGCTTTGGAAACAACCCAAATGCCCAAAAATAGATGACTGGATCAAGAAGATGTGGTACATATATACCATGGAATATTACTCAGCATTCAAAAAAGATAAACACATGCAATTTGCAGCAACATGGATGGCGCTGGAAGGGATCATGCTCAGCGAAATAAGCCAAAAGAAAAAGAAAAATACCGGATGGTCTCACTCATAGCAGGAATCTAGAAAACTTAAATAAGGGACCAGGAAAATGATATAAGAAAGTGAAAATCAAAATCAACAAACAACTATGAACCAGAGACACTTTTTTGGGGGTGGGGAGCGGGAGGGGAAGGATTGGGGTCAGAATGGGGCGTTTGCAATTGTATGGGGGAATATAAAAATAAATTTTTATTATTAAATAAATAAATCTTTAAAAAAAAATTCAGATTTTCCAGGAAAAAAAAAAACTTGATAGGCCTTCAAGAATCAAAAAACAAAATATCTATGATAATTCTATTTTTACTTAGAACATTCACATTTATTTCATGCATTCCACAAATATTTATTTTTAATTTTTAAGGAATAATTCCTTTATTGTAAGATTTTTATTTTTTATTTATTTTTGCATAGAAGAACTGGGGTGTAAGGCTAGCAGTGCTGGGGGGCTTGTTTAAAAAAAATAATAAAATATATGTTACTGATGTTTCACAACCTTATCAAATCTGTACTATTATGTTTAAAAGATACCTTATTCATTCAAGTAAATAAGTATTTGCTGATTAGAAAACCTAACATTAAGGCAGTCACTTTTTATTAAGCTCACTTAAAAACAACAGGAGAATTAGATATATCAGACCATTCTGAAGAGCTAAACAGTCTTGCCAAAAAGATATTAAATGTTCCTTCTCTTACCTAAAAATTCATAAAATCCATGTAGTCAATGGAATGTAAAGCAACTTCTTTCAAGAATAAGCTAGATGTCACAGACTTCTAGTCTACAGCAAATAATTTTGTTGTGGTAATCCTGTCTTTTCCTTACATCATAACTTACAGAACACTTATGTAATATGAATGGTGCTAAGAGCATTACCTATCTATCTTTATTCCTTAAATACCCTATGAAATGGGCATTGTTACCTTCATTTTACATGCAAGGAAATTAAGGCTTAGCAAGGTTAAAATTTTTCCAAAGTAGAAGTGAGACTTAGTGCCAAGTTCAACATTTTAAAATACGTGTTTTTACCGCTACTCAAAATATATATTAATTAAAGAGAAACTGATGTTTACAAAGAGATTTCAGAGTCCAAAAATTATATAAAACATTCTTCTGCTAAATTTAAGAATGGGATTCAGTGACATGCATAACTTTGATGAATCTTCAGGGAACTATGCTGAGTAAAATGTCAATCCCAAAGGTGACATGTGATTTAATTTATGCCACATTTTTGAAATAACCAAAACTTTAGAAATGAAAGACAAACAGATTGTTGGTTGCAGGGTTTAGGGACTAGGGTAGGGGATGGGAGCTGGAGAGAGGCAGCGGGGTACCAAAGTAGGTAGGTGTGGTTATAAAAGCGTGTGGTACTGTGTTCACACACACACACACACACACACACTTTCCTTCTGATTCAGAACTCCTAAAATCCTTTTAATTTCCCAAGTGATCAGTGGAAAAGGCATCTTTTGTTATGCTAATGAGGTGGCTTTTGGACTAGGTCTGAGGGTGGGGGCTGGTTGCCAGGAGAACAGAGGATGTGATTAAAGGACCTAGAACTTCTACCTACCCCCAGGATTCCACCACAGACCTCATCTCAAACCTTTGGGGAGGAGAAGACCAAGAATCTGGAGGTTCAATTAATCACCAATGGCCAAATATTTAATCAATTCTATGTAATGAAACCTCCATAAAAACCGAAAGGAGGGCCTCCCTAATGGAGCAAGGGGTTAAGACACAACCTATAAAGCAGTCTGCAGCCACCACAGCACAAGTTTGATCACCAGCCAGGGAGCAATCACATGGTGCAGCAGACCTCTCTTGACTCACAGGCTGCTCCCCTCAGCAGTGTGTTTCAGTCAGTCTGCCTGTTCTACTTCCCACTTTGTCTCCTCTCACCCCCCACACCTCTGGCCTATACCCCAGTTCTTATATGGATAAATCAATCTTTAAAAAAAAACAAACCTAAGGACAGTTTAGAGAGTTTCTGGGTTGGTGAACACATGGATATTTGAGAACAATGGAGCACTCCAATGGAAGCGCCACACTCTTTCCCCGTATCTTGCCCTAAGCATCTCCTCCATCTGACTGTTTCCAAGCAACGTACTTTGCTAATAAATCAATAATCCAGTAAGTAAAGTGTTTCAGAGTTGTATGAGCCACTAGAATGGCTCATAGATCCTAACTTAATCCAAAGGGGAAGGATTAGGGAACCTGTGCTTTATAGACAATTCATTAGCAGCACAGTACAGGTTAACAACCTTCACTTGTTACTGATATCTGGCGTTCAAGAGGGACCCCAAGTGGTAACTGGTCATTCAGAAGCAGAGATGTCTCAAGTGGGCATGAAGAGAGTGGTTTTTTTAAGACTGAGCCCTTAATCTGCAGACTCTGTAGTTATATCCTGGCAGATGGTGTCACAATTGAGTTGAATTTGTAGGACATCCAGTTGGTCTCTGAAGAATTACTTGGTGGTATGGGGGAACATCCTTTTCCACACTCACTGGAAATCTGGGTCCCAGAATGCCCATTTAAAGGGCAATGGTAAGGATTCCTCTAGTCATGAAACTGCTCAGTATTGACTATAATGGGGATATATGAATCTACATGTGTTAAAAGAATGGAGAACACACAAAAATGAGAAAAGTAAAGAAGAATCTGAATGAGTAGACTGTATCAACATCAATGTTCTGGTTATAATATTGCACTGTGTTTATAAAATGTTGCCATTGGGAGAACTGGATAAAGGGTTATCTTATTTCTCTGTATTATTTCTTACAACTGCCTGGAACCTATGATTACTGCAATTAAAATTAAAATTCTAAATGGGATTTAGTATGTTAAACATTATGTGACCTATAGGAGAATACATGCAAAAAAAGGATCAGAAAATTGAAAGCAGTCCTTCCTTCTTATGCTTTTCCTCTAGGAATGTAAATATGCCCCTAACCTCCCCACAACATAAAGAGAGCTAGTTTACATTAAGAATTTTGGCTCTGGAATTTTATAAGTTTTGCTATCCCACTTACAAGATTCCGTCTCTAACTACGAAAATCTTTTTTTTTTCCCCTCAAATTTCTTTTTATTTTTTTCTGCACAGAACTGGGGTGTAGGCCGGTGGGGGTGTGTGTGTATGTGAGAGAGAGCACGGATTCACCAGAGTGGGGAGCAGAATAGGCAGATCTACTGAAATATACTGCTAAGGGGAGCAGCTGGTGAGACAGGAGAGGTCTGCTGCACCCTAAGTGGGTTAGCTCCCTGGCCCTAGATCGAACTTAAGCTGTAGAGGTGACACTGCTAAGACTTAACACTTAGGCCACCAAGGAGGCCCTAATTAGCAAATATCATTCTATTATTCTAGCTTACTGTAACTTACAAAACTTCAAATTCTAGTCCCAAAACAATAAGGGGGAAAAAAAAATACAAATCAAAACTTTCTAGGTTTAGAAAGTATTTTCAGTGATTGCTCTTTCTCAAAAAAATTTAAGGTGTTGACTTTTAATTAGTACATCACCATCTTTTAGGCTATTTTAATTGCTGCAGAGACTGGGATAACTATACAAAATTATCATCTATAGACTACTAGTAAGACAAAACCTGTTGATCAACAAAATTTAAAAAACAAATGGAATATTGCCAATCTTTTAAGTCCCTCCTGAATTAGACCCATTTCCCTTCTCCT